TGTACGACCCGTTCCGCTGCCATCATCAGACGGCACTATACTGTGCGATTTATCTCTGGGCACGCCGCGCCCAGTCGTCCCACGTGAGTTTCGGCAGACCGTGTTCGACGCGTTGCACGGCTTGTCTCATCCAGGCGTTCGTGCATCGGTTAAACTCGTAAGCGCATGATTCGTTTGGCGTAATGTTAATCGGGACGTCCGTACTTGGGCAGCTGCTTGCCTTCCGTGTTAACGCCCGAAGGTACACAAGCACACGAGAAGCCCATTAGTCACTTTTCCGACGCCAGACGCACGCTTTAATCACGTGCACGTCGACCTCGTAGGTCCTCTGCCGCCTTCCAAAGGCTCGGTATATCTACTGACCTGCATCGATCGATTTACTAGATGGCCTGAGGCCGTCCCCATCCCAAATTGCTCCTCGGAAACGGTAGCGAAAGCTTTTCTGGAGCGCTGGGTAGCACAATACGGCTGTCTTGTCATCGTGACCACCGATCGAGGGTCACATTTCTCGTCGACATTTGCCATGTTGCTTAAGGATTTAGGCTGTCGCCACGTCCAGACGACGGCGTATCATCCGGCCGCTAACGGCATGGTGGAGCGTTTTCACCGCCAGTTGAAGGCAGCGCTACGTGCGCACGCAGATCCTTCATGGTCTGAAACGCTTCCTCTCGTTCTTCTAGGCTTAAGAAACACGGTTAAGACTGACTTCGACGCCACACCAGCGCAGCTAGTCTACGGTTGCACGCTGCGGTTGCCCGGACAGCTGGTAGCACCAGCCCCATGTACTTCCACTTTTGACTACGGAAGTTACACTGACCGATTGGCTCACCAGATGCGTGAGTTACGTCCACCCGCTCCTTGATCGCAGAAGACACCGGTGTACGTGCCCGAGAAGCTGTCTACTTGTTCACACGTCCTTCTTCGCGCAGACGGTGTTCGACAGCCTCTTCAGTCGCCGTACATAGGACTTTTCAAGGTGCTGCATCGTGCGAGTAAGGCGTACACTATTGACCGCGGTGGTCGACACGAAGTCGTCACCATCGACCGTCTGAAACCCGCTTTTATAGAAGAGAGCACCTCGCCTACTTCGTCTAGTAGTGCTTCGTGCGACGTCACAACTCATCGCACCAACGTACAGCATCCTAGTCCAGTTCAACCAGACCACGATATCGGTCTACAAGCCGTCCCAACCTCCTCCGAATCTAGCCCGCCGCCTCCCACGACCAATCGCCGTGGTCGGGAGGTGCGTAAGCCCGTCCGTTTCTCCGACTATGTACAGTGTAAATATTTTTAGCTTTGTAGATATTGTATATATTTGCCCCGTTTTTGGTCCATCAACGTTTTGAAAACAAACAAAAATATCAAAAACCTCCGAAAAACCTTTTTCGAAAAAAAATAATTCAAAAACCAAAAATATTTAAACACGTAGATCATTCGTTTGTTCTTTTTGGCGTTTTCTGCGCGTGTTTTTCTACTTTCTCGTCTTTACATGCCCCAACCCTCCCCTTCGATCGACTGGCCCACACGAGGAATGTTTTCTAGGACACTGACGCGAACACTGGTCGCTTCTCCGCGGGACGAGGATCGCTTCTTCGCGGGACGAAGGTCGCTTTTCCGTGGGACGAAGGTCGTTTTCTTCGTGGGACGAGGGTCGTTATGGCGCGGGGCGGGGTGCGGCGGGAGGAGAGACCACTCCCAAGCGCACCGTTTGGCAGCAGCGGAGGTTGAGGTCCTGTCGGCCTTTTTCTGGGCTAGCCAGTTTTTTGTAGTCCGACAAGCCCGCTCCAACGGCTCGCCGAAATGCACCCTGCCCTGCATTCAATAAATAACAAAGCATAAACGGCACAGCGGACTCCGACTTCCGACGAACCCCCATTTACACGAACGCACGCCCATTTTTACTCGGTACCATTTCGCCCTACGAACATGGTTTCAACATTCCTTTTCGATTTCGAAGGCTTTCTATGTTCAGCCTTCTAGGGGGGAGCTCTGTAGCGCCCAAAAAGATAACTCTTATCTTTCGTGTACAATTTACTTGTTGACCGGTTGTACATTACTCCTTCTTGTTTTAATCTTACAACCGGCTCGACACACAACTGCCTTGTAAGTTCCCGCGCTCACGTGTACGCTCTTGCCTCGCTTCATCCGTCCGTTTCTTGTTGTAGTCCCATCGAATACAGTCCGCTGTGTCCGACTCCAATTGCCTTCTGATATCCGCGCTTAATTCCGCGCACCGTCTCGGACTAGTATTAACTAGTCCTGCAGATCAATAAACATGACGTCATACAGGGTGCCGTTACAGAACGAAGACATGCAGCAAACCCAGAACGATACGGAATCTATGGAGCTGAGAAGGCTTTTCTCACCAGTGTTCTACAACTCATTGAACTCAATGAATGTAAAGCTACTCACGAATAGATATTGTGCTTTTTATTAACACTTGTTGTACTTCTAACGCATCACTAGAAACGTTTGAGTTAGTACGCGGTTTTTACAAGTGGTAATATGCGTTACCAAGGTAGTAGATGATTCTATGTAATAAGTGCAAAGAGGCTTGTAAAGGAGAGGTTCTAAAAGCTTCGGAACACTTCTTTCATCATTCTTGTTTTGTATGTGATGGTAGGCTGCATGTGTTATGGTCAGAAATTCAGTATGCGGTTGTCAGCTTGCTTCAGAGGGATACTATGAACACAACGGTTCATACTTATGTCGCACAGACTTTAAAAAGAGAGTTTCCAGGTTTTGTGACTTATGTGGCCTAACTATACATGGGGAGACTGTTTCAGTGTTTGAAAAATATTTCCATCGCCATTGTTTTATTTGTTCTACTTGCAAGTAAGCCACCTTCCGAATTTCATCGTTGTTTAGGGGTTCCTTTTCTCCCGGAGCACAAGTTACATTATGGAACCGGGAATTCTATTGCATCGGTTGCTTTCCTAAACTTAAAGGAGTAGGGTTTACCAGTCAGTTTGGAAACTTAAAACAACGAGAATGTCCCAAGAAAAGTAGGTATTGTTAAATTAAAATATTCGTCTGCCTTTACTCAGATTATGGTTAACGGCACTCATTTTTAAAATAAGCGATTATGATAGTTTATCCGGTTTTGTAATATCGCGTAAGACAGGTTTATTCTCGTTCTGCACTTTTCGCTTTAACTACTGATGCATTTACCGTCAAGCGGCATAATTTTAGCAACGTTGTCTAGCGCACTGTATGTCGATATAAAGGGGGAATTCACAACAGGAACCCTTTGGAATAATGACAAAAATTGTACCCTTAAGATCAAAACACAGCTACCAATAAATAACAGCAAATCATCCTTCGTTAAGCGGAGGCGTTCGTTTATTACATACAATTTCAGGTGCAACCACGACACGCTTTCAGAGTGTTGCTTATCTACACGTAGTAGAACGACGTGCTCCATTATTTTTCGGATGTTAATCAAAATAATCTGTCAAACATTGTCAGTTTACGCAAACGACATCAGCAATGATGTTTGCTAAAATATTGCCAATATGCAAGACGCTTCAAAGAAGAAAGTAGCTACAAATATTTGGAACCGCCATCCTGCTGTCAAGAACTTCCTATATGCGCCCAAAAGGGTTCCAATTACACATATATCGGGCGGTCGGGAGTGCCAAAATTTAGTCGTATTTGTGACTAAATTCAGGCACTCAGTAAATCCACCCATACATATGTAACTATTTTCGTTTAGTTTTAACCCGACTCAGCCGCCACTGTATGGTTGCGCATGCACAATATCTTGCACGCCGTAAATTTGCCTTGGTATGAAAATATGGTGTTCGTTGCTGAGCGCCGGAACTTAGTTCCCAATGAGACTAAGTTCAGGTGCTCGCAAAAATATTTTCAGCACCTCTCATCCGCAGATAACTAACTTTTTATTAATTGTACCAAGTTGCGATTAACAATACAGTTGTGCGTACTTTTACATTATTCGTCGCTCTAAATTAGTCTTATCTACAGGTATATGCGGTTCCTTCTGAGCGCCTGAATTTTGTCCCAACTGAAACTAATTTCAAGCGCTCAACAAAACCTGACAGCAGCCTGTTATAATTCACGTTTAATTAATTTCTATCGCTTTTAAGGTAGTATCACGATCCCTACAGTGATTCACACGTTACCACTCCCCCGCGCCCTAAATTATTACAGACAAATTATCGAGCTCAGAATTTACATACCGCACTGTCTCACTGAAACCGCCTAACCCTTTAATGTACATTGCACATTCTCGCCGTGCATTAATACACGTTAGTCGAAGGGGAGCACCTAACATCTACTAATGTGCCGCAATACCAAAATTTAAGCTACAACATTTACACTACAAACACAATCAACGCTGTTAGTATAAGGTTAAATATTATATTATGCTCTTCGTATGAGATCGTGATTGGAAAGGAATCTAAAAGGGTGAGTTTTGGAAAAAAAACTTCACAGCACAAATGCCATCGGGATCAGCTCTTCGCCAAGTCAGCAGTTGTGTCCTAGCAAACGTGTTCAGCGTCCTTTGAGCCCCAATCAGGCAGTCATGATGCACCAACTGACGCCAACTTCGAAATGTGGGTTATCCTTTCTTTCGACTAATTCCTAGCTTGACCTCTCCGTCACTTCCATCCGCACCCCCGAAGCGCAAGCAATGCCTTGAGCCGGATGCGTAATACATTGATACTGAGTAGTACACTAGCTTTTCTTGCACCAAATACGCCACGCCGTACAACCTCATTGCTTACGTGGTGCTCTCGGCAGACATGAGCTGAGTTGCAAAAGCAACAATGGTCATAGGCAGCTAGCCTCGTTATATCTATCGACCTGATGAACCTAGGTTACACAACCGGTTAAGCGGGTTGAACGGACGACTGCGTTATAAACTCCATCTTTCAAGGCGAGAGTGACGTTGCGACTGCACCATAGGTGGAGCAGGTTGGCAAAAGCATCACAACCTTTTGCTGTACGGCTTGCAATCTCATCTTTCATCTCATCCTTCGGTCGCCAATATAGCTTCATTGGTACTTGAATTTCTGAACGACATCTAGCTGCTTCCAACTAAGGCTCAGCGTAATGATGCGTTTCGGCCAATCTTGGAGGACGTTACCTTTCTATAGGGTAAAACAGCGCGAAACCATTGACAGCGAGTGCTAATCGGTCTAGTGCTGCTTGGCACGTTGGGGAGCTATCACAGATTAGGGCAATATTGTCCGCATACACCATGGTAAGAACTCGCTCACCAGGAAGTAGCCCTACACCTTGTAGATCTTGTCCAGCAAACGCTGTTTTCATGCTTTCCTCATTAGCTAACTTAACGAGGATAAGCAGCAGCGGGCAATGTTTCTCACACCGCCGAAAATACTGGAGAGTAGCGACGATTTTCTTTAAACCCGCGCTCAATCTAAACTATGCGCATACAGCGCTTTGTTAATGTTTACGCATTTATCAGGCACAACAGAAAGTCCCAAAGGGCACACCGCTTCACTGAATCGTAGCCACTATTGCTGTTGAGAAACATGACAACGGTGGGTCGCCAGTAAACAAGGCGCTGCGCCAACAATTGACACAAAGTCAATATGTGATCGATGCAGTCCCGCCCTCGACGAAAGCCGGCTGGCTCTTCTCGGATCTGACTTTTACGAGTACCAGTCAGCATGCGAAGGATAACAGACGCAAGAAAGTTAGAGGCAAGTAGGTGCATATTGCTTCCAATATGATCGTCACATTGGGAACGACGGCCTCTTTTAAAAATTGGGACGAAATTGGCTCGGCTCCAGTCTCCTGCTCCCAAAGTTTCACTAGCAAGTCGTGTAAATCATCTACTAAAGCATAACACTCGAACTTAAAGAAGATTATGGAATTATATCGGCCTCTGCGGCTTTAGGCAATTTCAGCAACCTGAACGCATGTTCGACTGCTGCGAGTGAGGGCGGATCTGAGGAGTCGGCCCAGGGAGAAGGGCCCTCAATGTCCAAAAAAGAAAGCGATAACTCAGATTGATTAAATTGGTCAGCCCGACGCTCCAAGCATGTTGACAGACTGTGGATCAGCTGTTCACTTGTTTTGCTAACACCAAGTCTCCTGCTGCCTGTTTCCCGTCTCGGAAGGAATAACTTACGATGATTACCAACGGCAGAGGTTTTTTCCGTTTACAATGCACGCCGAGACCGCCACGCTTTGCGGTCTCGCTTCAGGCTTGTACACTGGATTGCCCTGTTTTTGCTAGTCTTATTATATTCGCTTCTAGACGGAACATGTCGGTCAGCATCCATAAGTTTCAGAGGCTGTGTAGGGACCCAATGTCTAGGTTGGCTGTTTAATTTCTTACGTGCAGACATGCCTGCTGATAGCAGTTCGGCGAATATGCAACCTGTGTCCATGGAAGTTGTCTAGTGAGCGCCTACTCAGCCCAGACGCCAGCGTAGTTCGGTACGCATTCAAAGCAACTGGCGTCGCCTGTAGGCCGGTGTCAATGCGCTCACGTCGACGTTACGGACGTTCGCCGAAACGCACCCAAAGGTAGACATACACAAGAGCGTGCTCGTAGTTTTCGCTCGTGCCCCAACTCGAACGACAGTTTTGGACACAGTCTCTCCAGCGGTAACTAAACGTGATGCGATGGGTCTGCACCCATGGCTGGTCAGAGGTCGGTGGCTGCCAAGTCGCAGGCAGCAGTTAGTATTCGCGAGAAAGAGATGAGAATCTGTACAATGGTGTAGCAACCACTTACCGTTATCGTTTCGGATGCATTCATCATGTTGGCCGCTCAGAGGAAGCTCTTCAGAAGACCATTTTGCGAATTGACCGTTTTGAGCACCAGCAAGTTCCACAGTATCCGTGCTGTTTCCTTAACGAAGGCGATCGCTAAGTTGCTGATAGAAAGCATCTTTCACCGAATCAGTGCTACGTAGGTTGCAATGAAAACAGGTACCGCTTGCCCCCGCGCCATTTCGAAGCCTGGAATGAGCCAGCTAATCTAACGACGCACATCTGACTGTTGACTGGTATCCAGTCAATCCGAGCTGCTTCAGCTCGTAGACGCAAAACAATGCGGACGCCAGTTTGACCTACATTGGAAGCCGCATCATCGTCAGACGGGCGCAGTGTGCATGTGCCGCCAGTGTCGCACGTGGGGAATCGCAGGGTAAGCACGGAGCTCGGATCTTGCAGACCAGTTTCCGCTAAACAGCAAATATCGATCGCAAGGTCTTGAGTGTTCTGATAAGTGTTGCTTTTTGAGCAATAGGTAGCAAACTGCACACGTTGAAGCATGTCCGCCTTAGAGAGGATCGAGGACTCCAAAGGCAAACGGGAGAACTGACATTGTCCGCTTGGTTAAGTATTGACTTGTCGACTGTATCGGAGCGATGCCTTTCGATTGTCTGTGAGCTATAACTAGAAGACAAGCGACTATTGAAGCACCTTAGGAACTGACCAAAAATTAGAGGATTGGAAACGAGGGGATAAGGGTGAAGTTGGAGCCGGACGCTAATGATGAAAAAGCGCAATAGGGGTAATAAGAAGACGGGAAGGCCTGAGCAATAGCATCCAAACTTTTATCCCCCCGTTCTTGATGCAGCAGATGGGGCAAAACTCCGTGCTAGCCTGTAGAGAGGCCGCGAATCCAGGTGGTTTCATCGTGCATCAGAAATGGAAATGGCCACTGCCCTTGGTAACCGTCGTAAGTTATCCCGGCTGACACGGGAATCGGGCAGCAGAAGGCATGGTGTTAGTAAAACAATTTATGACGAGAGTGGACAGACTATTCACAACTTGACAAAACGCTTGGAGCGTTGGGCTGAGCACTTTAAAAGGCAATTTAATCGGCCGGAATTATTAGATTTCTCGCCGGCCGCTGATCGCCCCGCTCCGTGGGCTGTCCCTTTGGATCCACCCTCTCGCTCAGAAGTCGAACGTGAGATCGAAATGTTGAAGTTAAATAAAGCCGCGGGACCTGATGCTCTTCCTCCCGCCCTCTTCAAACGCGGGGACCTGCTCTTGT